ATGAAATCAGCATCTCCAAAAAGCTGGTCAGCAGAAGGAAGCATGAAGTTCTCTAAAATTTCTTGGTAAACGGGTGCAGTGACTGTGGTTTTCAAAAAACACAGTGGACCAATGCCAGCAGATGACATTGCATCCCAAATCATCACAGATCTGAAAAGAGGACTTTGGACCACTGGGCAACAGTCCAGTTCTTCTTCTCCTTAGTCCAGCTAAGACACCTCTAACATTGTCTGTGGTTCAGGAGTGGCTTGACAAGAGGAATACGACAACTGTAGCCAAAATTCGTTGAAACTGCAATGTGTGGTGGCCCTTGATGCCTTGACCCCACCCTCAGTCCATTCCTTGTGAAGTTCACCCACATTCTTGAATCGATTTTGCTTGACAAGCCTCTCAAGGCTGCGGTTCTCTCGGTTGGTTGTGCATCATTTTCCTACCACTCAACTTTCTGTTAACATGCTTGGATACAGCACTCTGTGAACAGCCAGTTTCTTTGGCAATGAATGTTTGTGGCTTACCCTCCTTGTGAAGGGTGTCGATGATTGTCTTCTGGACAACTGTCAAATCAGCAGTCTTCCCCATGATTGTGTAGCCTAGTGAACCAAACTGAGTGACCATTTTGAAGGCTCAGGAGGTTTTGAGTTGACTAGCTGAGTGGCATGTCACCATATTCTAATTTATTGAGATAGTGAATTGGTGGGTTTTTGTTAAATGTGAGCAAAATCATCACAATTAAAAGACCCAACGGCTTAAACTACATCAGTCTGTGTGTACTGAATTTATATAATATACAAGTTTGACTACTTGAGTTGAATTACCGAAATAACTGGACTTTTCCACAATATTCTAATTTATTGAGCTGCACCTGTATATATTTGCCAATAATACAAGAGTAAGGCAAAGCTAACCGATCTTAGAGAATCAAAAGTTCCCTACTGGTGATGCTTTTGTGAGGCCATGCATTTTGGTCTCTTGCCTCATGTTGGTTTACTGAGTCAACCACAAAAGAGAAAACCTCCCAGTTTTCTGTGAATAAAAGGCAAGCCATATTTGATTTTATAGACAAGGATGAGTTGTGCATATTTTTCCTCTGCCAGTTAGTTATGCAAATTGATTTAATCTCCAATTCAGTACAAAATCAACAGTGCAACAGGATTCAGAAGGCTGTTCTTAGCTGTGCTATATTTGCTTTGAACTTGTCACAAGTAACTACGGTGTAAAATCAAAGAAATGAACTCAGCCACACCTTAAGACAGCTTGTCAAAATACATGTCAAAAAAATAAGTTCATCTCTTAGTAACAGTGCAGCTGTATTAGTTTGCTAGCTAGTGCACCATCCCCATCCCTGCTTATGGGTTGATCTCTTAATCAGTGCCAGAGTGAGCACAAGTCCTTTTCTGAAGGCTGAGGCTCTGTCCATCCTGCCTGCCCATTGCTACTGCCAGTCCCTGCCATGAATATGGAGCTGTTCTGTGGCTGGGAGCTTGCTTATGTTTTCTGTCTGATATCTAGGCCCCATTCCCATTTCAAAGGGAGGTCCACCCGGGGCCTTGACTTTTTGATCTGCCTGGCGACTGAGTCGACCACCTGCATGTGGGATCAGCTGCCAGCGAGAGCAGACAACCCCTCTGCTTCAAAATATACATCTTCCCCCCTTCATCCTCCCTGGTTCATCACCCTCCACTGTGTCCCCCCCCCCTTCCATGCCAGAAGCCCCAGTGGTCTTAACTGGGTCTGGGGCTGCATCCCATTCCCAATTGTTCTGGCTGTGGTGGGTGAGATGCTTGAGATATTTAGTACAGCAGCAGGAAGGCTTGTGCTACAGTCACAGGGCCATTTTGCATGTACAAGGAGACGTGGTATCAATGTGTCAAGGAAAAAACAGCTCAAAAGGCCTGTGATCAACACTGTAACACATATCAGTGCTATCTGTAAACAGAAGCCTATCAAACTCAACCAAACTGAGAAGTAATGAAGGCCAAATAGTTGACAGCAAAATGCACAAAACACAGTTTATATACATACGTCCTTACTCAAGTTTGTGGCCTGAGGTGTCCTTTATTTTAGTGAACCGCTAAAAGCCTAGAATGATAAAACATGCAGACCAGTACTACACCTCATTATAAGACTGAAGCTCTATCAATATTTAGGGAAACACAAAGTGTTCATGTAGATTATAATAGTAAGACATCCAAAAATCAACTTTTTTGAACAAATGCAACTAGTCAAATTTGCATTCCCTCTTGTCTTTGCAAGGCAATGCTGTTTGTGGTACAAAGGGACTGGCAGTGATGCTAATCAGGCACTACATGAAATTATAATAGATCATTTGATGATCACAGATATTAATATAATATCAGGATTGCCTTTCTACCTCATTGGGATCACTGTGCCTGTCATGATATAATTAAAATCCAATGGATTTCAGAGGATGGAATTAAAAATGAAGAGTGGATGCCCTTAATGCCCACCACTAGAACACTGTCATCCACTGAGTATGAACAGAGCTGATATGAGAGGCTACACTGGTGAGACTAGTCTCCAACCCAAAACCCAGCCAATCAACAGTGCCTACAAACAGTGTTTTATACTAATTACCCTCATTGGCAGTGATGAGTTTCACAGACAGAAATTTGCAAAGATGAATTTTCAAACAAAGCAACAGCTATTTGAAATGTGCGTCTCCCTGACTGTTTTTTTACAATAAGTGATATTCACAGAGTCCTTAAGTTAATTGGCTTTCTTGAACTCTAACAGCTAGTTTAATGAGTGTCTAATTGTTTCTCAGTTGGGGTGATATCCACCAGACCAAAAAGACTTTTCAAGAAAAGGTGTGAATTTAAAAGAAGCTACAATGACAATGAAAACAGAGACTATTTATCTGGTGGATCACCATAAATCCCTCTTATTGAAGCCTGGTATGGATCAAGGCCTAAGTGTTCGCTACTCATAATCAACTTAAAAATGTATGTGCTTGCTACCACAGTTCAATGGCAAACATTTATACTGTGTATCTCTGCTTTACTGATGTAAAACACTTGTCAAAATCTCTTGGCTTTCAACAAAAATAAAATACTGGATTTCAAATAGGCTATATTCATCAACCTTAGTGAGTGTTTCATTTGTGTTATAAATGCAGAGGTTATAATATGCAACAGTAATGGTTTACTTTACTCACCATTTAGTTAAAGACCTTTACATACAATGGGTAGATGTAAAGCAATACACTACAAGTAGAGAATGACAAAGCATACCCCCCACCCTCTCTTACAGTGTAAAGAAACAACTGCTCTGACATTGCACACAAATAAACAATTAATCAAATGGGAGAAAACCATGGGGCAAATAATGAAATAAATGGAGAAATGAGAAAGAACTGCCTAAAGGGGGAGGGGGTGGGATGTCATTGAAACATCCTGAACTTCCTATTTGCTCTCAGTTCTCCATCTCTTGTTATAAATTACTCTAAATCTGTTTCTAGCCCACAGCTTTACAACAAAAAACACTTTCTTTTATTCAAACAGTGAAGAAGCAGAAAGGAAAAAAGGACTTTTTGTTAAAGAAAGGCAGGGGGTGTATGTTGTGCTGCTCCCGTCAAGCAGAAAGACGGGTGGTAGTCAAGAAGGCTCGCAGCCAGGCTCCACTTTGGAAAGCCCTCATAAATCCTGATTTGAGTGGGGCGCTAACCAGAGAAGGTAAGGCATGTCAAGACAGCGAGCTGCAGGGGGAGGGGGGGCAGCTAGCCTCTTAAAATGCTACATCTGATTAAGTCTTCCCATTAGGTGACAGCTGAACTTTAACATTAATATGATAATATTGAAATAAGTGTGTGTTATTTACTTCAGCTCTAAAGGGGTGTGGAGAGAAGAAGAGAGAGAGGAGGAGGGAATGATAAATGATTTCTGGACAGCTTTGGGCGATAAGCCATGCGAGTTGACCCCCCCACCCCACCATCCCACAATCCTCCTCCCCTTCCCATAATCAGACTTGACAAAATGGAGACATATGCAGAAATATTGGTTACAGTTGGCATCACAGCCCTTTCTCAGGCCTTCCTTCTCTAGTAACAGCCGGCCGCCCTGCGAGCCACCCTCCAAATTGTCTACAGGCACTGAAGCATCTATTTCAATTGTCACTTCCTTCCTGGGCCCAAGATTTTACATTTAGTCTATGTCATTTACATATTACTCTTAATCAAAATCTACAGTGGGCGACAGGGAGAGAGGGAGCGAAAAACAAAACCGTGGCGACACGGTTCAGGGGTAGGCACACAGGCACTTTATGAAATGGAGATGTGACAAGACATTACAGTGTGTATGTGTGCACATTCATGTGACCGTGTGCATGTGTATTAGGAGGCGGGTGCATAAGATAATGCAAGTACTATTGAAATATTTGAGTGAATGCTTGTATTTGTGTGACTGTTGGGGGCTTGCATGAACTAGTAAGCAACAGAGACAAAGAGTGCAAGTTGGATATGAACTGTAAGTGCATTGTAAAAAACAAAGGGAAAGACAAGAAAAGAATGGAGACGTACAGTGCACACTTGTCTTTTCTACAGGATGCTATACTGAGCTACTCCTCCTTTCAGTCTACTCACTCCGAGACCACTGTATGCAGTACAATGGCCATTTACTCCATTTGTTAATTTATTTAGTTTTTTCTTTGAGAAATACAGTAAGTACCAGCAGGAAAAGTACCTAAACATTGCATCTAATTACCACTTTAACTTGTCAAGTGGTTCAAATATCACCATGCATTATCAACAAAATTTCCCTTAAAATGTAAACTTTTGTATTTATTCATCCATTTATTTATGTGTTCACTTGCAATGCAAAGCAATATGGCCAACGGCATTTAAGACCATTTACAAATTGAATAAAAAGTTCAGTAATTTCAATTCATTTACTGTATGAAGTTTGTTAAATGGTGATGACTTGGCGGAAGCTAAAGCACGATAGGTGCAGAGAGGTGCAGAAACAATGTCCCTACCTGCCTCTTACCTTCTCAGCATGCCCGTAAGGATGCGAGAACTCTTGCCCAGGTTGGCGTCTGTTTCTCTCAGCTGTGGGGGGGAACAGTTGAAGATGTGTTTAAGTGTTATGTCCTCTGTCAACTCCCCTCTGACTACAAAATACACTGTTACTAAAACATATCAACATTTGACCACCTCATTATACAATTAAAAGACAGAGAAAGAAGGAAAGGTTCTATCTTGATAAACTTATGTATACCTGAGGAAATTAGCAATGAACTTACTAAAAACATATAATGGCTAAAAAAAATCTTAAAATGTTAAAATAATTTCAATTATTACAGTAGTTTTCTATGCTTGTGCAAGACTATGTGGATGCACAACAGGGTAATACTGGCCTTAAATCAATGTGCCTTGCTCAAGAACAACTGGCCAAAGGTACCTCTAGAGTGTGACACTAAGTATCCACCCAAAGTTTTTGTTTAGAAGCTATGAAATGAATCTGAGATTTACAAAAACAACACATTGCTTCATTATGTATATAACATGGATGTTCGCTTATAATTGTTAAATCCAAAAATGTATTAATTAGAGCCATCACAAACTGTTAACCTAACAGCCTGCTCATCTTCCTGCAAAGCAAACATTATAATGGAATAGGAAAATGAGTGAAAAGGGTCTTTTATTTAATGTACATAGCAAGCACAGGGAGTCCTTGAAGGCACACTTTAAAAAATAGTTGTGGCTATTCAGGGCTAATTGCCTTGGATATTTTCTTTTCTCTCTCTCCATTTTCTCTCTTTTCTCACTGCCTTTTTTCCTCAGGGGTCACAGGAATGTTTTCATTCCACTGTCTTTTCAGGTCTAGAGACTTTCACAGGGAAGGGAAGTGGCAGATATGTTGCCAACAAGGTATGAGCGTGACTGTTAAAAATGCTGACACCGCACTGAGTGAGCTGCCACTAACGTCTACCTGTAGTCGCATTTCTAGAGGTTGACGGGGGCATGTGGGGAAGAGTCACTGCAGAGAGTCAGCGGGGAGTCATTCTTCTTCATCTCTGTCTGAGATAATAGCTCCTCTCCCAATAAAATCACTCATGTTTTCATTACTGTATTATACTGTGTACTATTTTTAATTCCCCACTTTTCACGTCTCTTCTTCCAGCCTTCCTCTTCTCTACAGCGATTCCAGCAGCACTCTTTTCCCTGTTTGTTTGGGCTCATTTTGCAATCATCTCTCTTGCCTGCAATTCACCCTCTCTTCCTACCCCTTCTTTACTGCTGCTTTCGTCTTCTTCCAGCTCTCCTTCCTACCCTCTGGCAGCCTGGGCTGGTGCGACAAAGGTTGCCAGAGCCAAGGATACATGTGGTACAGGGTAGGAGGTGGGGGACCTGGGGTTTGGGCCCTCTGGCAAAGACAAGTCTTGCAGTTGCCTGATGTCTGACTTACCCACAGATCTGCCCCCTAGATACTGCACACTTTCTCCCAAAATACCTCTCTCTCTGAACCATTCCTTCTTTCCATTCATCTCCCTGTCTCTACAACCTGTTACCAAATCTGATGCTTTCCTGCTCAATTTGAAATGGAAGTCAACTGAAATTTTAGTGCAGTTGACTGCCTTAAATTAACTGTGGTATAGAAAGGATAAGAGGAAGGTGTTTCTCCTGCCTTGTATTTTTAATGTACAGCTCTAAAAGGGAATATTCTCCAGAGATACTAGTCTAGGTTGCTCTTGAAAATTAAACAGTTTTGTGGTAAAGTTAAAGCTTATTGTGGCCAGTCTACTATGTTAGGGGAGAAAAGTCTACTGTATGTAGCAGACTAGCAGCTACAGTGGCTTCAAAATTAATTTAATTACAAACCCAATAGATTGTGAACATAGGAAAGGGGTCTAAATACTTTCTGAAGCCACTGTACTGTATATTTCAGTTTTGAGGTACCCTCAAATGACTTCGTTCACTGTTTGTGATTTGTGGCTACAGATGGATGATCGCATAATGCTAAGATCACAGGACACAGAGAGAAGTAGGTATGAGACACAAGGGACTGGACAAAATTAGTAATCTGAGTGTGATTTAGTACCATGGGGGGAAGGATTATTTATTTGAGGTAATTTAATAATTCGTGTACACAAATTACTTACTTTTGTAGCCTGAAATGAGTATTTTCTACCCTCAAATCAATACTTTTTTTATACTTGAATTAAAGATTCAAGTAAATAAATGAGTAATTTTAGGGATTAAATATTAAAGGTTTCCCCTGCTGCCTTGTGGGCTCTGCATGAGGTACCTTGAAGAATGGTTAAACCAAATTCAAGAATCCACTGAGGAGTTCAGAGGAGGAAGCATACTGCTTTGACCCAATGTTGAAACCTTCCACTGACTTGTTTTTGTACCATAAAAGCAAAAGAAAAGGCCACACCTCCTGCAGAGCATAGGGTCTTGTGTGTGTGCATGTGTTTGAATGTTCATATGTTGGCAGTTATTCTAAAACAATACCTCCGTCACCTTCCATCTCTTTAATGTAAAAAAGTTAACGAGTCCTTCCATCCCGTCTTTACATCTTACTTTCTTTGCACTTTACTTTTGCCCCACAAATTGCCTTTAAAGCCCTCTGATTGTGTGAATGTGATTGTGTGAATGTGTGTGTGTGTGTGTGTGTGTGTGTGTGGTAGGGGGCTCAGCAAAGAAGACTCATGGGAAGAAGGGAGAGAGAGAAAGCAAAAGAAAGACAGAGAAGACAGTCTCAGTAGACACTGTGGACTGTTTTGAAACGAGATGTTTGATTTCCTTTGAAATCACACTGCCATGTTGTGATCTTTAAGCATTCTGCATTGAGGGGGCCAACAGGACTGGGCCCCCTTCCTGAGTTTGGTCTTTTCTGTCTCTGTCTACCTGTCTGTTTGACTGAGTGGATGTAAAGAGAGGCAGTGCTAAGGTTTGGACTCTTTCAAGGAAAGTGAGAGGGAAAAAGGGAAACTGTAAAGGAGTGCTGAGAAGTAAAGGAGGGTAGGTGAGGACGGATGGAAGCTGGCAAAGGAAACCCCATTCAGACTGAGGAAGAATAGTTCCTGGAAAAAGGTGTACAGGCACCAATAGGAGGCAGCAACAAGCAAACTGATTTCACTCAATGCAATATGACAGGAAATGTTCAACATTTCACATCTAATCAGACAAACACATTGTCAGGTGATACCGATGAATAATAATATCTACTGATGCATGATGACCGCTAATGCAATACAGTGCTATTAATCAGTGAGAATATTAACTACCTTGTCAATACAATTCTGCCAATTTAGTGTAGGAGCATATGTAAGCATACACACCCGGCCTTGTGTGCTACGACTGTGTGTGTAGACACTATGTGGTTCCTTGGCAAATCACACAGAAATCGGTGAAGGCTGCCAGTGTTGCTAAACCACTTGTAACACCTTTATGGTCTCACAAACACTTGCTAGAATAGATGAGTTCATGCAGGTGACAGGTGTGTACTCACCCTATCTCTGGCTCTCTGGATCTTCTCACGGTCACTGTGCAGGTTGGAAAGAATTTCCTGGCCCACTTGTTCTGTAAGAGGTGGAGACACAGTACAAGTAAGATAATATTACCACCAGTTACAAATGTCAGAGGACAACCATAGAAGTACTTTTGAAACAAATTAAGTCAACAAAAGAACAAACATTTTTTCACTTGTATATAGTTGCAAACCTTATGTCATATCTTCAGTACAAGAATATCTGCAAATGTGTTGTCTTTAGCTTTAATAAATCCCACTAATTGTACTATAACCTTTGTTTGACTCTCTACTTATCACTGTGCAATAATTTGTACATTTGACGTAAAGTGTACAGAGACAGGACTGTCTAGAGGGAGTGTCAGGTGGTCATATGGTAAAATATTGTAGCTATTTAAAGTGTAAACTTTTAAACCTTCTTAATATACTGACATAAAGAGCCATGGAATTCTAGACAACAATATACCAGAATCCAGCCTGCCAGTGGGGTCCACTCAGCCAATGCAATATTCATTAAGCAATTCCTTTTTAAATGCCTCTTGTCAGTTGTAGATGTAAACACATTAACGCACAGTTATAAAACATCCCCGACAAGGCACCTGACAAGCTTGTCAGTGGTCGCTGTCATTTTCCTGTCCCTTGGGTTGGGGAAGAGAAAAGAAAGCAAATAAATAAATAAATAAAATAAGCCTCACCCCATCCCAACACCACCAACAAACCCGCTGCTGCCATCAATTCAACCATACAGATACAGCATTAGCGTTTAAAAATGTGGAAGGCAGAGGATGAATCAGGAAAAAAACGAAAAGAAGTGAAGAATCTTTGCATGGATCAAAGCCAGGCTTTCAAGTGCACCAAACAAATCCGGAATAAACAACGCAGTTGCTGACTGTATTACACTACACAGGTGCCGCAACACCAAAGGGCCCACGTGCTGAGCGCCTATTTGGGGGGAGCAGTGCAAAAATGGGCTACATCTGGCAGCTAAACAAGAGAAAAGAGAGAGAGAGAGAGAAATGGAGAGAAAGACAGAGAGAGAGGATCAGGGAGACAGAAAAAAGAGAAAATGCTGTCAAATGAACATTCATCTCCCATTCATCCCATCTCCTTTACCCCCCACACTGTAACTGACTCAAATGTGTCTCTTCCTGCCTTCATTAATTTCTAATCTGAGATGAGACAGATTGAAGGATACCCAGATTAAATAGTGCAGTCAGACAGTCACATGTGACAAATAGGGCAGATTAAAAGACTGAGTGCAGGTATTAATAACCATAAAAATACAAGCCCTCCCCCGTCCCCACTGGAGAAGAACAAGGGATAAACAGGAAGGGAGTTGTAGCGGAAATCTTCTGTTAAAGAGACAAATAAGCACATCTATCCATCTCTGTCAGGGTCATGGCTTTTTTTTAAATAAATGAGTGTGACAGGCACTGCAGCAGCACAGTTTTTTGATGGCAAGTGCATTATTGGAAAGGTTTGTAAAGTGTAAAAAGATGGATGAGGTAGTAGGAAAAGAGGCCTCAAAAGATCCAAAGGCACCTCATTTAGAAACTGAGCAATCATTACATACAATATGCTAAAGTATATATTTTGAAAAACTAATGGTTCTGTAAATATCTAGGTAAAAAAAACAGGATTAAAATGAAAAAGTAAGTAAAATATTGAATATCCCTGCTACCTTTCAATGAACAAAAATGGAACCACACTAGATAAAGTTTTCTGTCTATTGTAAGGTGCCGGAGAGAGAACAGTGCTGGTGTTATCTGAAGAATGACATGAAAACAAGGCTTTTAATAATACACTAAGTGCAAACAGCTACCACCTTATGTTTTGTATAATGCGTGACTGTACAGACTGTTCACAAGCAAATGGTTACCCTTGATTAGTGTCACAGCTGCTGAATAAAACATAGAAAAATACTCACAATAGTCAGTTTTTTTAAATAAAATTTACAAAATTTTTAGCCCTGCTAGAAGAAAGCTAAAATGCATGACATTGACCATGAGAGAAGCCTTTCTATGCTCTTTAGAGGAAATGTTATATTCAACAAAGCAGACACAATAGTTCAGTGCCATTACACAAGATAGAAAATTCCAACTATAACTCAGGAGATAGAGAGGGTCATCTTTTAAGCGGAGGGTTGGCGGTTTGACTCCTGGCTTCCTGATTCATTACTTTTTGAGCCATGCTGTGGACAAACAAGCCCAGGTCTCTCACTAGTTCTCAAACTCTCATCATACCTTCCTACTTTTTGAGCCATGCTGTGGACAAACAAGCCAAGGTCTCTCACTAGTTCTCAAACTCTCATCATCCCTTCCTGGGTTTCCCCCTCACCACACTGAGCCATTAGAGGTCTACACAACACACCCCAAGGGAAATGTATAGTTTGTCTTTATCATGCATCTTCCCTTGCATTACTTATTCTCTGACATGTATCTACATTTCCATTAATCTTTTTTAGGTCCTGCTGTCCAGTGGTCTGTGTAAAACCTCATCAGTTACTGGTGATTAGAATGTGTCGGTAAACAAATGGCACAAAATACTGAGATAAAAACTAAAAATCTCAGAATAATAAAAGGGTCATCAAGTAAAAAAAAAAATGCCCCCCACCATCATATAAAATACTTGATGTACACAACTCTTCCACATCAGTACTATCAAACTTCCAGGTGATGGAGACATAAGAATCTGACTTCTGCAATGTTAATATATCACAGTCAAATTTGTATAGTATGTTCAGCAGAACAAAATAAAAATAAATACAGATTTTCAGACCAGGATGAAAATATGGGGGCATAAAATTATAAATGTACAATTGATTTAAAAACAATGCATGAGAGAGAAAAAGGCTCTGTCTGATGTGTTGCTTGTTACTATGTAAAACATTCACCTTGTTTAAACAGCTATTAACAATGTAAATAACTCTGGCCCAGAGGTCTTGCTCTGACTCACTTGTTAAAGATTCCCATCCCCAAAGGTCCATTTAACAAGCCCATTATACCATTTCATTACACTAACAGCACCACCAGAGAGCTTTCATTTAACCCACTCCTCTAATGTAACTGTAGAACAGAATTAGTATAGAGAAGTTGTTAGTACAGCATAAACAATATTAACCTGAAGGGGAAATAATGTCTGGATTAGGAATTCTATCCTTTAAATCCATGGCTACTCTATTGACACAGCACAGTCCAGAGCTATTTTATCTCAGCTCAACACCTCATCATTTAGTTAATGAGGAAAAGGTAGTCTGAAAATATATGTACTGGATAATTAACTTTACCAGGCTATGTATTAATGTAATCTGTAATGTAGAACATGCAGCATAAAATGATCTTAACAGAGGCGGATCACAATGTTTGTTTTGACTTGAATAAAGCAGCTGTCATTACTCTGTCAAAATAATCAGGAAGTATTTTGATCATTGATTAAACTTTTAAGTTACTTTTTAAGCAAAAATAACAATCTTTGCCCACTGTTTTAGGAAACTGTGTTAGGTATGTTGGGCATTCTGTGTAAAATATAAATATCAGCCTGGCCCAGGATAATACTCTTCAGAAAACCAACAAATCTGGTACTATCCAAACCTCCACAGCTTTCAACTGCGTCTGGTCCATAGACACATTTAATTGGATGCATCATCTATTTTACAGGCGCTATTTCAGAGCAGTTACACACTGTCTGAGGGCCTGTGTCTTTTTGTGCTGCAATTTTTTATTTTTTTTTTTTACCTTACTCCTTCTGTCCCCAGAGCTGAAAGGGTACTAGACCTGACAGTGGTGTGCTCTGAGGCTCAGTACAGTTCCTTTTCATTAAGCAGTTGAGACCACTTTTTGAAGGTTACCACACACACTTACATCTGGACGCAAGCCACACATTCCAACAAACGGGTTATGGAAGCCCATGGGAGGGTTGAGGGGAACTGAGGAGGAGCCTGAGAAATGTTAGACCATACATTTTCTCTCTCTCAAACTGTCTTTATCACTCACACACATATATACACACAGTGCACCAGTAAACTTATATGCCAGTGACTCCCAGGTGAATAAAGTTACCTGTCTTTGTACATTTCCCGAAAAGCTTTTTGAAAGGACTTCTCAAGTCTACAACTGCCTGGTGACACACTTTCATCACCTCCATCAAAGTTGCACCCACACTGGGATGTATTTGCAATGCTGAGCCCACAGGCCATGAGGCTAGTGCCTTTGCACAGAGCTATAGCTCAAAATAAAGAGGTGCCAACTGCTAAGTCACAGGAGGGGCATGTAGCATCTAGGGGCTAAGTGACGCTATGACAGATTACTTTTAATAATAACTATTGCATGTTAATCAGTAACTGCTATTTTGTAGCAGGGGCAAGAAAAGATCTTAAAAGGAGTCAATGTGATTCTCAGTGTTTCATAAAAAGAAGTGCATTGTCCTCAGAGTTGGGATTTTTCCACTTTGTGTGATTGCTCTTCAGCAGCATGCTATATACTGTAGGTTGTGTACATGTTCAGAGTGGGTAAGGCTCTGGCCTGTTCTAGCAAGTGCAAAGGCCCAAAATAACTAATATTCTGAACAGCATGAGGCTGGGCCATCCTACTCCATCCTGACTTAGTCCATACGTTGGCCTTTCCCTTGCATGTGCGTGAGTAGTGGTGGGCAGTCAGGGTGGATTTCTGGGGCCTTTCTTCACTCTGCCAGGCTCTGTTTTATTCATTGACTGTGCCCTGACCCCGCAGAGCTCCTGTTCTGACAAATCACTTCTGATTAAGACAGATCTCTGTTAGTCAGCCACTCAACTTGGCCTATTCATCATTCCACAGAAAATATTCCTCTCTCTCTCCTCCCCTGTCCCTCCTCCTCCCAGCTCGTTTGCCTGTCAGACCGAAGGAACGTGCAAAAAGAATTTCCGCTGCCGTTTTAAATGGCTGATTACAGACAATTGGTGGATGGACAGACGTAAGTGCGTCTTATGGGTGATAAGACGCAAGTTTAATGGGTATAAATGACCATGCCTGTAGGAGACCAGCTGGTAATAGAACCATTTGTTTAAAGCTGAACCAGG